AACCTGTGCAAATCCAAAATACAGAAAACACTAGGAATAACCAATAACCTGTGCAAATCCAAAATACAGAAACACTGGGAATAACCAACAGTCTGTGCATATCCAAAATATGGAAAACACTGGGAATAACCAACAATCCCACTCTGAGGCTGGGCAAACCCATCCAGCCTCCCATCCTCTGGGAGAGACAGGCAGCTCCTCCTCACCTCCATCCTGAAATATTCCAGAAATCACTCCCAGCCACTGTGACAGAGTCAAGCACCCATTCCCACTCTGGAGCCCAGAGAGCTCTGTGCCAATATGGTGCCCCAGCCTTGCCCTGAGCACCACGAGCTTCACACTCCACATCAACATTTGCTTCCTGCATTTTCTCCTCCCAGTAAACACCAGCTCAGCACTGGGAGATGGAGCTGGCATGCTGCTGAAAATCCCCTCTTCCCAGTGGGAATTCACCTGAGGGGGAGAGGGAAACCAAAGCAGGGATGTTTGGGAATTTGGTTGTGAGCTTTGGTTTGATGTGGTTTCAGGAAGCTTAAAAAACCCTTCATAAAGTCAGAAATGAGGCACTCAGGGCAGTAAGGGGATGATACAGTAAAATCCAGCATTCCATGGCCAAGGGAATCACTGGATTGCACACGAGGAAGAGGAGGATGAGGATGCTCCAAGAGATTCCGATCCAAAACCTAAAAGAAGCCACGGAGCTCGGCTGAGATTCCAGAAACATCTCAGCCGTCCATGCAAGGCTGTCCCAAAACGAGCCTACTCCTGCTCTAAATAAAGCTCAGCCTAGAAAGGCAGAGCTGCCTCACTGCCTGGGTGCAGGAATCGGGAGTTTGGAGGTTTAATTCAGGCTTTGTCACCAGCAGGAGCCCTCTAGAACAGTTTTCCTGGGTGGGTACAAAGGTCATGGTTGTGTTCCTGGGAGCATTCCCAGCCCTCATACAGCACAAGGAGCAGGGATGGCCCAGGATTAACCCCACACAACTCCACAAAACAACAACCTGCCAACAGCCCTTAGATCTCTGGGCATTTCCCTTACAAAAAAATTAAGGATAGCAGCGCTCAGGAGCCCAAATGGTGGCAGTTTGTGCCACTTTCCAGCTCTGCAAGACAAAGCTGAGGAAGAAGATCCATCCTCTTCCTTGGCTCCAACAGCCAAGCCCAGGAGCCCAAATGGTGGCAGTTTGTGCCACGTCTCTGCAAGACAAATCTGAGGAAGAAGCTCCATCCTCTTCCTCAGCTGCAGCAGCCAAGCTTTGGAAAAAAAGAGAGCTCAGTCCAGGACTAACGATGCCCAACGCCAGAGAGACACACATGGAAGCTGAGTGAAGCCCCTGCTTCAGCCAAGCCCTGGAAAAAGAGGGATCAACCCAGGACTAACAGTGCCCAACACCAGAGAGATGCACATGGAAACTGAATTCCCGAATCAGCCGGGGCTGGAACAAAGCTGTCCTGCTCCAGAGCAGCGGCAGCGGGGCCGGACGTGCCTGGCTGTGACATTTCAGCAGCAGGGCACGACCCCAGCGTGTGGCAGAGCTGCTGAGGACGTCACAGCAGGCCCTGAAGCCCCGGTTTGAATGCCCCGATTCATCCTGGCTGGGCAGCTCCGGGAAGGAGCAGCCAGGAGGGGGCACGGGCCAGGGCAGCACTGAGGGCGATTGTGCGGCCGGAACCCCGCGGGCTCCGAGCCCCTCGTGCGTCAGCGAGGCCGGGGAAGAAAGAGGAGACTCAGAATTCCCTGGAGTCCCCAATTCCCCTCGTTCACCCAGCAACGACCTCGGATTCCTCCCCAGAAAGAGGCGAAAACACCCAGAGAAAGGTCTGCCAGAAAAAGCCACGTGTGTCGCGGTGATGTTGTGGTGACAAGTGACAGTCCCAGGATGGACACTGGGAAGTGCAAGTGTGGGTACCCTGCACCCAAATTATTCCACACCCAACACGTGAAGGGATCATTTATTCCTCACATTTCGGCTCTGAAGTTCCTCCTGGACCAGAGGGGCCCTTCCAGAGTTCCTTCCCTCAGATTCCCAGGGAAAAGTGGCTCCACAACCTCGTTACCCAACACTCTCCATAACTGTGGCTGTTCTGAGTAAAGCAAAACTAAAGTGATTCCAGTGGATAAATGTTTATTTTCAGCCCAAATGCCCAGTTTTAATCAGTACCTCTGTGTGCCTCGTTATGGTCTTGCAGTACATTTCCAAACCACAACTTCCACAGCTCCCAACCTGAAAAATTTTCCATTGTCACCATGGAACTCAACCTTCCAGGCAAGGAAAAGAGCTTTTAGTCCTTGATCCATCTCATCCTCTGCCTCTCACAACAGCGCTGGATCTTCGGGACTACCCAGGATGAGAAATCACACACAGCAGTCCAGATTAATTTCTAATATTATTAATTTCTAATACAATTCAATTAAATAAGCACCAAAGGAACCAGCGTGTCCAAACTGAGCCCTCATCAATTTGATTCAAACACACGAGAATTCTTCTTTCCTCTTTTATAAAGGAAGAAGCTTTACTTTCATGGAGTTGAAGGTGGTTTTACAGCATTTCAGAGCCAATGGGGGACATCTGGGGACATTCAATGTACCTGCAGCAGCACCTGGGCAGGGAGCAGGGAGGAGGAGAAGGGTGGGAAGGGGTCAGGGGGTGCTGTGGGGGGCACAGGTGAGGAGTGTGAGGGGTGCACACCTGTGTGGGTAACTACAGGGACAAACCTGGCCAGGACTGGAGCAAACTTGGCCAGGACTTAGGGAAACCTGGCCAGCACTGGGACAAACTTAGTCAGGGCCAAAGGAAACCTGGGCAAGATTGGGACAAACTTGGCCAACACTGGGGCAAAGCTGGCCAGGACCAAGATAAACCTGGCCAACACTAGGACAAGCCTGGCCAGGACAGGGGCAAACCTGACCAGGACAGGGGACCCCACCAGGACCAGCACCGGGACAAACCTGGCCAGGACTGGGACAGCACTGGGGACCCCACCAGGACCAGTTCCAGGGTCTCCAGCAGGACAAGCCCTGCCAGCACCAGGGTCTGCTCCAGGTCAGCTCCAGACCCAGCACCGAGGCCACCCCTGGGGATCCCACCGGGGCCAGCACCGGGACAAACCTGGCCAGGACTGGGACAGCCCTGGGGATCCCACCGGGGCCAGCACCGGGACAAACCTGGCCAGAAGTGGGACAGCCCTGGGGATCCCACCGGGGCCAGTACCGGGACAAGCCTGACCAGGACTGGGACAGCCCTGGGGATCCCACCGGGGCCAGCACCGGGACAAGCCTGACCAGCACCGGCTCCGCTTCAGGGCCAGCAGCGGGGTCCAAACCCGGTCTGAACCGGGACAAACCCGGCAGCACCGGCTCCGCTCCAGCGCCTCCACCGGGGCTCCCACCGGGTCAAGACCGCTCAGAACCGGGGCTCGCTCCGGTTCCATCCCCGGCTCCTCCTCCACCGCAGCGCCCAAGCTGCGGAGCCGGGACCGGGCGGGCCAGTACCAGCGGTGCCGGCTCCTCCGCCTTCCTCCGCTGCCGGTCCCGCCGCTCCCGGTTTCTCCGCCCTGTCCCGGTACCGGCGGCCCCGTTCGCGGTGTCCCGGGGGTCTCCCCGCACTCACCAGCTCATTTTCCCCCTCCGCCCCGCGCCGCTCCCGGAAGTGCCGCCGCTTTTGGCCCCGCCCCTTCCGGGAGCGTTCACCCCACCCCCCGGCGAGGCCGCGTGACGCCACGTGGGGGGGCGTGACGTCACGTGGCGGGGAGCGTGACGTCACGGGAAAGGCGCGCGGGGAAAAGACCTTGAAATTTGTCGGATTTCGGTGCAAAGGATGGAAATGGGGTGGGAGGGGGTGGAGTTAAAGCGACGGGAGCTGTGGAGAATCCTCAGGGAGGGCGAGGAAAATGGATTGCCTGGATCATCCCTGGGGTGGGCAAGGAAAAGGAATTTCCTGGATCATCCCTGGGGTGGGCAGGAAAAGGAATTTCCTGGATCGTCCCTGGGGTGGGCAAGGAAAAGGGATTTTTTGGATCATCCCTGAGGTGGGCAAGGAGAAGGAATTTCGTGGATCAGCCCTGAGGTGGGCGAGGGCATGGGAACGGAATGGCCAGGAGCATCCCAAACGTGGGTGAGGGCAGGAGCATGGAGTGCCCAGGAACATCCCGGAGTGGGCAGTGGCACAGGGAGAGGATGCCCAGGAACATCCCTGGGGTGGGCGAGGGGAAGAAATTGCCTGGGAGCATCCTGAGCTGGATGAGGGCACGGAGAGGGGATGCCCTGGGTTATTTCCTGGGGTGGGCGAGGGCACAGGGAAGGGATTCCTGGGATGGGCCTGGGCAGGGGGTGCCTGGGGTGGGTGAGAGCAGGGGGAGGAGCAGAACTGCCCCAGTCAAGGAAATCCAAGGGATGTCAGTCACTTTTGGAAGAGCAGGAACACCCAATTTTGGGCAGAAACCCCCCAAACCCATCTTGAGGAGGCAGGACAGGGGTGGGAGGGGCAGCAAAATAATTTTGGTGGCCAAAAACCCACGATGTCCTCAGCACTGACCCATCAACCACCACCACCCGTGACTCCGGGATGCAGCAGAGCCCTTCAAGATTTGGGTGCCCTTGGACCCCCTGTTATCAGCCCAGGGTGACATCCTGGGGGTGGCAACGGGCTCGGTGCCACCGGGCTGGTGTCACCAGCCACATGCCAGCACACGGGGCGGAGGCCCGGGCCGGGTGCCAGGGGTGGCTTTATCAATTAGCAGGTGGAGGTAAACAGCACGGTAATTACAGCCAGGGAGGATGATGCTAAACTGGGAAGGTGTTACCGACACCGGTGAGGACAGGGATTAGCCCAAAAGGAGCGGGGGGGGCAGATCCGGGGGGGTGGCAGCCCCCACCAGTGTCCATTTTGTGCTGGGATGGGGAGGAGGAGCTGGGATGGGTGGATGAAGGAAAGGGATCGATTTTGGGGTGCAAACCCCGAGGGGAGGCAGCCAGGAGGGTCCCTCACATCCCCGTGCAGGTGTGGGCAGGGTGAGGAGGAAGGGGAAGGCTGGGAAGGTTTTCCCAGTGGTTGCTGCTGCCAGCTGGGCCAGGCGGCTGCTCCTGGCACTGTCCCCACTGTGGTGCCCCTCACTGTCACCTCGGGGCACAGGGGATGGGACAAGACAGAGCTGGGACGAGCCCGGATCTGTCATCTTGGTGGCCACAGCACTCAGGGAGCGTCTTCTGTGGAGGCTCTGCTGTTTGTCCCCCCGTCCTGGGAGGATGAGTGTGGTCCCTTCATCCAGAGCACCCATCCAGGGGTGGGGATGGATCCACACGGTCCCACGGGGTGGGAGATGAGGGTCGGGCCATCCAGAAACATCCGGGCCTTTTGTGGATGATGTCTCCTGCCAGGCAGTGGCAGAAGCTGAGCCGGAGGTGAGAAGATCAGAGAAGGATCCCACCAACATCTGTACTCCAGCTGCAAACCAGGAGCTTCTGGCTTTGGATCCTCGTGGCTCCCTACCCCAGGGACGGGGTCTCAGCTCTTGGTGCTCCTCCTGAGCAGCAAATCCCATCCTGTGGAGAGCTCTTGGATCCATCCACATCCCGCAAAGCCCCGAAGACCCTCAGCAGGGAGGAGCGAGGTGTTGGTGGCCTCCTCAGGACCCCGGCGCTCCCGTTGAGGAGGGAAAGGCAGCAAGTTCTGTGGAGCTGGTACGTGACTGGAAGCCCTTCCCTCCTCCCCAGAACACAGATAGCCCAGAACGGGGATGGAAAGTGCCGTGTTTCCGTAGCAACCAACATTTTTCGTGCAAGGTGCTGCACGCACTCCCCGCGCTTTGCCACCCAAGGGTGCTCCTCACCTTCCTGCTCTGCGCCAGGAGGGTCCTGCCCAGTGGGATGCTCAGAGTGGCACTGGCAGAGCAGGTCCCAGGGCCTGGTGGGCTCCTTCCCTCCTCCTCCTCCTCCTCCTCCTCCTCGCCCGCAGAAGGAGCCCAAAGCGTTGGTGCAACCTTGGGTGGCTCCTCGCTGGGGCAGCTCCTGTGCTGTGCCCGTTCCTAGGATCTCCAGCGTTTTCCAGCATGAGCCAGCAGTGGAGATGGGCACCTCCAGCACCACCACAGCACCCTCAGGTGATGCTGGGGGCCGTGGTGGCTCTCCCTGTGCTGGGCAGCTCCGGTTCCTGCCCACCTGAGCCTCACTCGGGGACACTGTGAGGACTGACAGCTCCCAAACCATCCCGCAGCCCCTCCTGGCTGCGGGACCTCCAGAGCACAGAGGGAAGGACAATCCCAGCTCATCTCAAATCCTCATCCCAAATTTGTGAATTTGCACTGGGAAGGACAATCCCAGCTCATCCCAATCCAGCCTCACGTGGCCACCAAACACTCAACCACCAGGAATCCACACAGAGACATCAGAGCCCGCCTGGCACAGCCCCCATGGGCTCCAAAGCCAAATCCTCAACACCACGAGATGCCATCCCTGGCTGGGCCAGCTGTGCCCTGAGTCACCATCAGCCCCTGGATCTTCCCCAAATTAAAACCTTTCCAAGCCAGGGAGATCAACAAACCCCCCGGAATGGCCAGAGCATTCTCCCAGCCCGGCTGCAGATCCAAATAAAAAAGCAGAAAATCTGACAAGGTTGCCAATGCTTTCACACCCTGGGAACACCAAGAAAAAACCACGGTGCTAACGCCAGCCACCAGCACTGCCTTGGGAAGGAGGACAATTGTGGGATATTCCATCCCAGACACCCCCAGAGCCCTGGTCTGGGATCCTCCAGCACAATCCCAGCTCCGGGAGCTCCATCCCCGTCGCTGGGGAAGGCTCCAAACGCCACCACTCCAAACATCCACGCGCCTCCAAAACTCCTTCTCCCACTCGTTCCTCGTGCCCGTGCGAGCGCCAGCGCTGAAACCCGCCGGGTTATTTTTGGGTTATTTTTATCCCGAGCGATCCAAGCTGGGAAAAAAAAAAAAAAAGAAAAAAATCCCCTGCGGGTGATTTGGCGGGCGAAGGGCGCGGGGGCATTACCGGCTGAAGCGGCGCGATCCTCTTTGGTGGCCCAAAGTTATCCCGGCAGCCGCGGAAGCCGCCGGCAAAATGGTGACGGGGTCAAGGCGGCGACGGCACGGGCAGGGAAAAACGGGATGGGAGGTCAAGGGCAAAGCAAGGACGCGGGGGATTTTTAGGGAGAGGGTGTCCCCGTCCTTGCTGGGTGCTCCCCATCTTTACTGGGCGCTCCCCATCCTTGCTGGGTGCCGCCAAATCCCGGCTGGGTGCCCCCAAATCCTGTTTGGGTGCCCCAAATCCTGTTTGGGTGCCCCAAATCCCGGTTGGGTGCTCCCCATCCTGGTTGGGTACTCCCCATCCTTGTTGGGTGCCCCAGATCCTGTTTGGGCGCCCCAAATCTCAGTTGGGTGCCCCAGATCCTGGTTGGGTGCTCCCCGTCCTTGTTGGGTGCCCTAAATCCCGGTTGGGTGCCCCAAATCCCAGGAAAAAGGGGCCGCGAGGACGGAGCCGGTCGCCTTCGGGGTCACCCAGCTGGGTCTTGCTGTGCCGTCCTGTGGATAGAACTGAAGGAGAGGGAGGGGGGCTGAGAAAAAAAAGTGGGTTATTTTTTTTTTTTTCTTTTAAATCATATAAAAAAATAATATTTAAGGAAATACAGCACTAGGAAAAAAAAAAATTTTGTACAGACAGGTTTCAAAGTCGCCCGTAAAGAGACGCAGCACCCACTTCCCTGCACATTTCAACCCTTTTTACACTCCCGTTACACATTAAAACCTTTTTTTTTTTAACTTTCCAAACCAATATAGATCATTTTTAAGCAAATAAAGATATTTACTACAGATTTTGATTGTCAGCAAACACAATATATTTACTGCATTAGCATTTGCTCACAGTGCAAATGGTACAACAATACATCAGTTCAATATTTCTGATTTTTTCCCTTAAAAATGCTGTATGCATTAACTATCATATTTGCATTACAACATGACAAATGAGCAAATGAAATGTGTGTGAAAATTATCACCTTTTCACAATATCAAGCATAATTTTTTTTTTAACCTTAGTATAAGGTACTATAAATCCAAGAAATAAAAACATCCACAAAATATATTACATCTGGTATGATTTTTTTTTCTCTAAGTACTCAACTTTATACAAAAGTCTTTCAAAAAATATCATTCCCTTAGGTTTGTGTGGTTAAACCTGATTGTGGTTTGTTTTTTTTTTTTTTTTGTTCCTTTCAGTTCACATAAATTAGACTGCATTCTTCCTCTTCTCTTTATTTTTTGTACGTTTTTAATGTGTTTTTTTGTGTTTTTTTTTTCACATGCAGACATCAAACCTGGATAGCACGACCTTTTGGCAACAAAGATTTTTTTTTCTTTTTAAGTCATTATTATTTTTGCTTAGTTTAGCTTAAATGTCTGAGCACAGTTTTATTAAAACAAAAGAAGAAAAAAATCAGAGCAGTCATGCAATGACATGCACATACCAGAAGGAGAAAGAAAAAAAAAATAATAAAATAGAGGACTAATTGATTTTTCTCCTCCATAGTTGGGTGGTTGTTTTAAAGTGACCAAATAAAATAAAATAAAAATATCTCACATTATAAAAAGTATTCAGCAAAATACTGGGGTACTATTTTTTTTCCCTGTATTTCTGTAAAGA